ATATTTATATTTATATTTATATTTATATTTATATTTATATTTATATTTATATATTTATATTTATATTTTATATTTTGTATTTAATTTAATTGTTATTCATTTTATAATTATTTTTTTTTTTTATCAATATCAATTCGTTAAATATAATTTGATTACATTACATTCTCAAAGAAACAGTAAATCTCCTAGTCCATCACAGCGCAATTAACTCAGCACAAATTTGATTTACCTCTAAATGAAGTACCCAGTATTTTGGCTCAGTGTAATTTTCAGTTCGAAGTTCTGAGTTATCGACAATGTACAGACGCTGATAAGGCAGACAACTTCGTCTTCCCACCACGTGAGTGTGCGAATGTGTGTGACTGTAGATGTGAGTGTGTGTGTGAGTGTGTGTTTGAGTGTGTAAAAGTCGACCCCACATACGGCTGTCTAGACCCGAGTTGAGTTGTGGGCAAGATGCAGATACAATATCTAAATTGTGTATTGCCATTAAAACTAGCCAATGGCGTTTTGTACTTGCAACACAGTGTGTGGCATGCAACACATAAAGCTCGCTACCCGAATGGCTCGCAACTGATTGCATATAGAATAAGCTCTCAGGGAACGAATTGTTTAGCTCTTTTGCTATTTTCAATTTTATATTATTGCCAATTTTTGATTAGGCCAAACAATATCTTATCTACAATCAACGTGGTTTGGTATTTGCGGCCCTAAAGAGCCAACTTCAATTAAAATTTTCGCCCCATGACTTAGATAGATAGATAGACTAGAGTCAAAGCTAATAGTCGTATATAGCTCGAGTTTTGGCTAGATCTAAATCTTGGAATTGAGTCAAATTCTTGTTGCAATTTCATTTTTAGCATATAAGAAATTCAATGGTATTATAAGTAATTAGATGATATAATTTCTCTCAAAATATCAGGATCGGAGCTCGAATATAGATTTTTAAATGTAAATCAAATCGAATGTGACATTTGTTTCCCTATAGACCAATATGCGTATTCAATAATACGTACATATATGTATATCTTACGTATATTATATTTTTTTGTTATTTTCTGATATATCAATGTTTCCTTAGCTTCATTAGCCCATAAATTCATAAATGTAAAGCAAATCGGATATTTAAATCATTAGATATACACCAATAGGTATATACCTTCTATATACCATAAGTATATCTTATATACATATTTCTCTATTTTCATATATGTATATGCATGTTTCACTAGTCTTATTTACATTTCCCAAAGTTTTCTATAAGCGTAAGGGAACGCATACGACAAATAGACTTGGATATCTTACACAGTCGGGAAAAATAGCTAAATGTATATTCTCTGGCTAGATCTATATGCTCATCATATAAACTGGTTTGGATAATCTACTCTTGTAGCTATGAGTAGCTCTTTAACTTTGATAGACCCATATTTATATTTACTTATATTCCCCATATTTATATTAACTTATTTCTATTTATATTTCTTGTTTAAAATCCGTATTATCTAGGCATATGGCTAAACTAAATATAGTTTCTCTAGCTGAGAAACTACAAATCTAATTTCTATATAAACAAATCCAATTTTTCTGGCAAACTCAATTGAATGAATTACAAATTTCCCGATTTTCCCAAACAGATTTTCAAGTTGAATAAATTTTTATTTTTTTTTAGTTTTTGCTTCGAGTGCCGTTGGCATATTAAGAAGAAGAAGAGATTGTTGTTGTTTGTAATTGAAATTTTCTTATTTTTCATTTTGTTTTGGTAGCATCAAATTTTCACTTGGTAAGCGTTTATTTATTTTTTTTTTTTACTTACGTGAGTGTAGCAGAAAAAAACTTTTTCTTTATATGTTGCAAGATATGCAAATTTCTCGCTCTCTCTCTCTCTCTCTTTGTCACTCTCTGTCTCTGTCTGTATTTGAGTTAATTCTTTTCTTTTACGATTTGAATTCTTAATTTGGGCACAGTTCGTTGACGTTTTGTTTGAATTATTCAAAATGCAGCCGAGTGCATAAATTTGCAGTGTTGCAGTTGCATTTTCATAGCGCTGGCGTTTCATAATAATATTAATAATAAAATTAAATGCATATATTATTATAAATATGTGTTTTAATTATTTTGTATATTATGCGTTTGTGTTTCAATTAAAGCAAATATGTTTTTCAATTACAACTTTATCTGAAGTTGTTGTTGTTGTTGCCGCTGGCATTTGCATAATGCACTCAAACGCTCACTCAATCATTCACACACTCATTCAAGCACTCATTCATTTAACAGCTCGCTCAAGCTGTTGTCATGTCCTCACTCGTGCCCCCTAAAGCCCCATTTTTGCCATCTCCCCCTTTCAGTTGTAAATACCACGAAATTCAGTCGAGCGCACAATGCAAGACAAATTGAAAAAATTAAAATGAAAAAACAAAACTGTAGAAAAATAATGTAGAAAATATTGAAGAAATTTATATTATCAGCTTTAGCTTTTGATACCCTGGACGGGTGGATCTGACCTAGCAGAGCTATTTGAAGATTATAAAGACTTGTATAAAGAGTGTATCTACATAAAAACTTATTTAAAAATCCATAGAGATTCCTTTATATAATATATACATTAAGATCTATGTATATACAAATCTATATAATCTATAAGGGAGTATTTTTTATAAATGTTTAAATCTATTTATTTTTATATTTTGAATTAGAGTTTATCATATTTTTTGAAGCTTGATTTTTTTTTTTAATTTCTTTAAATTTTAAACGCTTTTATTATTAATATTTTTTAACTGTTAATATATTTTTTACTTTTTAAATTTTTTAATAAATACTTGTAATAAATAAATATCTAAATAAATAAAAAAAATATCTAAATTAGAAAAAAAATATTTTTCAAAATTAAAAATTATTGTTTAAAATAAAAAAAATTTTTTTTTTCAATCAAAAATTATTGTTTATCTTAATTTTTTTCTAATATTTTCCTTATTTTACACAAATTAATATTGATAATTTCCTACAATTTCCGACAAACCTAACGCTAATTCTCTCAGAATGCTCAACACCTATTTACAGGGTATCTGCTGGCTGTGCCTCGGCCTAGATCTGTGCGGTTGTCTTGCGGTACTTTATGCTGCAAGCGCGCGCGTTTTGTTAGCGACTTTTTGCAGCGCCTTTTGCACTGGCATCGAAAGCAAGCGAAGCGCAGTCGACGCCGCCGCTGGCGTCGCAGCTGGCGTCGCCACTAACTGCATTTGCTTATGACTCTGGCAGTTCTCTTCATTTTACAGTTAATAAACGTTAACCGCAAGTGGTCCGATGGGGCGCTGGCCCCTTAACGGTGGCTATCTCACTATATCCATGTGTGTGTGTGTGCTGCAAGTGTCGACAGATTCATCAAGAGTACTGCAGGACGAGGGAGGGGGATCGTATCAACGCCCTAATGTGTTGTCACATTTGTTGTAAAATTGATTCGCTAATGATTTTAGCTGACATTCAAATTACGAAAAGCCAAAAGGGAAAACATTTGAGTGAGAACATATGGAAACTACATATATAGAATATTTCTTTCACACTCACACTCTCTTTGAATTGGTATTTATTTTTAGAAAGTTAATCACATGCTAAACACTTCGCATGGCCCATTGGGACATAGGGAAAATGAAACGAATCTCGAGTCTTCTGGCACGCACTAAGCGAAACAACTTTCAGGTAGTTAACTTGAGGCCTTCTTTTTTTTTTTTGTCTTTCATTAATTGTCGTTCTTTCACTTTATGGGCGTGGCGCAGTTGTGCGTAAAAGAAAGAAGCTGAAGAAGTTAATTATATGTATGTATATATGTATATATATATATATACATATATGTAGATATTTTACAGAGTTCTTTTTGTTCCCATATAGCTAATTAAGTTATTATTAAGTTAAACGCCTATTGGGAATCCGAAAGGGATTGCATTCATATTGGATATATTTTATATATTTTTTATATATTCAAGAAACTGCAGTTAAATAGCTTTTGTTTATTGTTTACAATCTCGGAATTGATTCAAATACATATTTAAGTCTTGTATGTGCACATAAATATAACTCCAATTTAATTTATTTCAGTTCCAATCACTTCTAACAAGAAAAAACACAGTCCAATTAGATTAACAACTAACCAATTGGATTATAGCTAGATTCGATTTATATTGTGCTTTTAATTAGCTAATAGCATTAATATCAAGTAAATCTTTAATTATTTATCAAAAGCAAATCTATTCTTTTTTCATATAAACATAACTCTCATGTAAATAATTCCAAATCATATCCAATAAGAGATCTAGCTAAATGCACAGCAATTGGGTTCCACAAGTGTGCCAATTGGAATACAGTGAAACCAATTGGACTATCACTGGCGCTCACGCAAAATAGAATCCACACACACACACATCCAGTTGCTCTGGTGATCTTACAATTTTCGCCATTCAAAGTCAGCAATTGCGGCAAAGTTTAATTGATAAAAATAAAAAGTTGCACGAAAATTGACTAAAACTCTGGCTAATCTCTAGCTTCTGGCTTCTGGCATCTGGCGCTTATTGTGCCTATATAAAAAATAATATCTCTCTACGACTGAGTCACAGTTTCGGACTTGATTTGTTGGGGAGATACCGGCGAAGAGCTGCAAACGGGTTAACTATAACGTGACTCAGTGAGACTCGGCGTTGCCACACCCCCTCGCCAGCCGCCCATCACTGATCCGCTTCACTGCGCCGCACTGCACACACATATCAACAACAACAACAAAACTAGTTGCCGAGCACCAAAACGGGGGGAACAAGAAAGCCAAAAAAAAAAAAAGAATAATGATTTTCCAGTTGGACATTTTTCAAAAGCAATTTAAAATGCTCAAATTCAAAGACATATGAAGTTTTATTTGCTGCAATCAATTTTGCATTTATTGCAAGAAAAACAAAACGAAAGAGAAACAAAAAGTAACACAAAGCACACACACACCCACACACACAACAGGCACTGCAAACACACTTTCAATTCAGCGCTCGAAAACACAAACAAAACAAATTTCGAGCAGCGGCGGCGGTGGCGGCAGCAGCGCTGCTAGCGGCATAAGCAAAGCGCTAAACGCAAATGCGTTGCCAGCAAAAGCAACAACAACCACCGAAAACAACAACAGCAACAACAATAGCTGTTCTCGCTTCACGTTCCCTTTTAAAGTTTTTTTGTTTTTTTATTTTTATTTATGTTTTATGTTTATTGAGTCTCTTTGACTGTTTCGAGTTAATTATTGTATCGTAATATTATATAATATTTGATTGTTGTTTAATGAATTATAAAACTCCAAAATAACGAAACACCAACAAAATTGCAAACCATAAAATGAAAACAAAACAAAACTTAATATGTTTAAAACAAAACAAAAAAAAAAATAGAGGCCATTAAAATTTTTGCCAAACGCAACGCCGCAATTTGTAACAATTTTTTCGTTTTAGTTGCCGTTTTTGTTTTCGTTTTTGTATTTGATTTTATTTTTAATTTGTTTGCTTTGCACACAAACGTTAATTTTGATCGGCATCGGCATCGCCAGCACACGTACGCACACACTACAGTTACAACAAGAAGAATAACAACAACACAAAAACAAAAAAATATTTTGAAGACCAACCGCACGATGCGCTTACAAAACTTTCGTCCGTCGCCTGTGGAACGCAAAATACAACTGAGCTAGCCGAAGCCGGCTGCGGCCGGCCAACAGTGACTGCGGCAGAGACAGAGACAGTGGCAGAGGCAGCGACAGCGAAGCTCGTGCGCTCGTGCTCGTGCGCTGCCACCCGCTTACCTTAGTCTCCGATGCGCACACTGGGCTCTCCGCTATTTTCTCTTGATTGAAGTTTTTGGTGGTAACAGATGGCATTACATTAATTTGAATTATATATTTTATATATTAATAACTGATGTATCTGTGTGTATGCTAGATGAGCAAACTATTTGAGTGTAACAAATGACGAATGTGCTCTGCATACGCATGTAACTTATTGGGCATTACAATTAGCTGCAATTAAATAAGTTCTTAGGCAGTGTGCGCTTGTTGTTGGTGCTTCTTTTGATGCTGTGTGAGCGAACGACTGCGTGCGTTTGTGCTTGTGTGTGTGTGAGTGTGGAACGAGTTGCCCGTTGGCGTTCGTCGCCGTCGCAGTCGCAGTCGCTGCGTTGGCGGCTACTGCGCTGCCCACATTGGAGTTAGAGCTGCTGTTGCTGTTGCTGTCGGCGCTGCCGCTAATGCTGCTGCTACTGCTGCATGCGAACAAATTGCGCAAATCGCATGCGTTTTTCAATAGCTGCAGATCGCTGGGCGTTGATTGCGTATGCGTGCCATATGCGTACGGGCATGCGACTGCAACAGCAACAGTAACTGCAACTGCTATTTGCCACGCATTGCAGGTCGTGTGATCAAAATCAACAAATAGCAAACAACAAAAGCGTCTAATAACAAAACAACAAACAAAGCGTCCGCATTGTTTTTGGTCAACCGCAATGCAGACGCGCATTTAACGCGTGCGTTTTACAGCACATGCAAGCAAAAATATTACAAAAAAAAAAAAAAAGACGAAAGCAAAAACAAAAACTATTAAAAGACCCAGTGCACTGTGCAGAAGCAGCGAAGCTCTCCGCAGCCTAAAACAGACGGCAACATCGTTATCCCCCGTTTCTACTTACGCACACACACACACAAGCTGTCAATGCATCTGCATTTATCAATGTATGCGTGTGGTCTTACTTACAAGTGTGTGCTCATTAATGTATTACACTGTCCACCAGCAAATTGTAAATATTGAAAAATTAAAATTGTACATAAAAATATAAATACTTTCATAAAATTACAAGTGAATATATAGATAATGCTACACCCATATACTGGTAATATAATAATAGATATAATAATATATTCCCATATCACTTTACATTATTCAAAGTTCAGCTCCTGCGATTACAAATTTTTGTTAGGCTGTGTAAAACGCGCCCAATTCTGCCGACGCCGCTGCTGTTGGCCAAAAAGCTTAGCGAAGCGTGCGAAGCAGCCGCAGCAGCAGCAGCAGCAGACGCAACATCAAGAGAGCAACGGCGTGTTGAGAGGGAGAGTGGGAGCTGTTGAAGATCGTTCAATGCATGGCGCTGAAGGCGGCTGCCAAGGAAGTGGAACATGTGTGCGCTGTCTGTGTGTGCGTGTGTGTGTGCGAGTGTGCTTGCTAGTATGTGTGTATTTAACATTGTCATGGCAAGTTGAACGTGGGAGAGCCCTTCGCTAAGCTGGTTTACAGTTTTGTTCTTGCTGCTGCCTTTGTTCTTGCCGTTGTTGTTGCTATTATTATTGTTGTTGCTGCGGTGGCCTCGACCGATCAAGCAAGCAAGCGTTCGACCAGCTGTTGCTTTGTTTTGACTCGAGCAGCGCTGTCGGCAAAAGAGACATAAATACGATAAATGAGAGAGGGAGAGTGAGAGTGAGAGAGCCATGGAGAGCATAAGCATAGGAATTGCCTGCGTATTCAGATAGCTATTTAGCAGACGACGCTGACAAATTGTCAGCAATTGGAGTGGGAATGCGAGTGGGAGGGAGAGGGAGAGGGCGAGTATGAGCGTCAGGTGAGCTAAGGCAGAAATAAATCAAAATTAATGCCACACAATTATTAATTAAAGTAATTAATGTGTTGGCCGCTTAGAAAGCTCCGAAATGGCCCAAATGCCATTATAATTCACAATTCTTGACCATTTTGGCAGTGCAAAGGGATTTCGCCTTTCATTACATATGCAAAGCTCGCCGCACACAAACACACACACACACACACACACACACACACACACACACATGTGTGTGTGAGGAAGGGGAGCAGCCGTAAGGCGACAACATGTGCTCACAATTGCATTTGCCGTTTCGCTTACACTCCCCTCTGTTGCTCCCCCGCTTTCTCTATCACTCTCTCTGTTTCTCTCTCGCTCTCACATATTACACAAATTGAAAAACTATTGACAAGGCTTTGCTACTGGCCGCTAACGGGTCCAGGCGGCATTATCACATGCGATAAATATTTATATGGAAATGTAATGACTGCCCCCACGCACTCTCCCTCCCCCTAGCACTCTCTCTATCTCTCTCCCTCTATCGCATTGGCTTGCTACGCTTTGTCTCGAACGTTGCGCAATTAATGTCACCACATCCTTTGGGCCTTATTAATGTCCTTGGGCCGCATGCCGTCTGGCCGATGGGCGGCGGGCGGCGAATGGCGTTCGTTGGGTTTGGGGGTTTGGCCCATTAATGTCGCCCCATCGCTCCGGTAAAAACAATTAATTTACCCATAATGCAATTTATATCGGTTTCGGTTTGGGTTCCCCGGCATTTGAGGTCTGGGCCAACAGCAGCTTTCTGGTCCATTTGGCTTACGCATATCCTGTGCGAACAGCCGACTGGGGCCCTCGGTTTGCCACATAATGTGCATATTTCTGGTTGCTTTTTAAGGCCAAATGATTAATTATTAAAGCGCCAGCAATTCGCAATAAACAATAAACAGTTTTTGGCCAACGGAATGCTCGAAGCATGCCAAAACAAAAAGCAACAACAACAAAACACACAGCATCGCGAATGCAACAGACATTCCTGACAGATTTGGCTTGCTGAGACAAAGCTCTGCGGAAGCCAAGCAGCAGCTGGTTAGCTGCTCTAAAAATTATGTTGGCCAATTAATTATCCATTTTTCAATATGAAAGACAAGCCAGACAAGTTGATGTCGAGCATGACTGACTGCATAATACTCGCTCGGAGAAAGAAAGCTCGAAAGAGAGGCACAAATCAGACCCATAGTGGAGATTGGGGGATAAAGCAAGATATTTACTATTTACTAAAGAAAGATGTAGAGAGATTCTAGCTGAATTGGAGGCCATATATACAGTCGAGATTTACTCCTGCGGTTCTGTTATATATTGGTAAAGTTTTCGGAAGAAGGTATATATTATCCTAATGTGATAGAACAGTCAAACTGGTTTCAGTTTCAGAGTTAGTAATCCAAAAACATGCAAGAAATATAGCCAAATTCAGGTATTTTCTTCTATAGGATAGAAAGCATCCCTTGAGTTCCCTCAAAAATTCTAGAGTTTACATATGTTGTGATGGCTCTACCTCTCGTACCAATACTTTTAAAAAATCCTATAAAATGCATTTTGTCCAGCTATTAAATCTCAGACAATGCACGAGCACCTCAAAAAGCCTAAAAGCATGCTATGAAAAATATTTTAAGAAATGAGATAAAGTCCAATTGAACTAGAAATTAAAATGAAAATGGGAAGAGGGGAAATCATATGAATATCTATTATATTATGAGTAAATAAGATAATAAGTCAGGGGATATATTTTATCCTTAAAATATCACTGAGATAATGTCATAGAATATATCTTATCGTTTGACAGATTGAAAATATAATAAATCCAAAATCATTTTCTGTGACTAAACATCTCCAAAAATAGATCTCTATAGTTATTCACTGTAATCCTCTTTAAAACATCAAAGCAAATTGTGCAAGAAAGGTAGAGGTAGATAGAGGAAAAGCGAAATGAGAATACAAAATGTAAAATTATTGTGAAAACCTGCGCTAATAGCTCAGAGGGTAAATTTGATCCTCTAATAGATTAAAGGTATATTTCAAAGAAAGGCACATACTTTCTATATCTAATAATCTAAAAGATGATAGAGAGCTCTCATTATTTTTCCCTATATTCATTTCTAGGACTTCAATTGGAATGGTGAAGAACCAATTGAGCTAGAAATGAAAATGTGAATTGGAAAATAAGAATAATTAATGTGAGATAATTGTGAAAAACTGAGATAATATTCTTTAAGATTTATCATTTGATAGATTCAAGATAAATTGTTTCTGTAACTAAAGATCCTTAGAGTTGATAGAGAACTCGCATAGTTTTTCCTGTCTAGGACCTCAATGCACATTGTGGTAAACATTTGAAAACTTGTTTGCTTTCCCAGCTTCCGTCTGCATGTGAGTTCTCTTCTATTTTATTTTCTTCTGGGAGCCACCCACGAATCGCATCGAATCGGAGACGTTGGCCAGCCCAGACAAACGGTTTTTAGCCCAGCACACATTTGCCCATGCTGTAAACAAGCTGTCAAATTCGGAAGGAAGGGTGAGGGGGATAGACTAACCAGAGAAATGTTCTGCTGCGGCTGCACTCGTATGGCATAAAGTTGTTCGAAGATATTCAGCTGGTTGTCAGTCGCCTTCAAGGCAGCTTGATTGGCAGAATGTCGCTAACACTCGCAGATAGATAAAGAAATAAAAGATACAGATACAGCTATAGATACAGCTACAGTTATAGCTGTAAAAACTTAGTACTTACGACTGTCGAAACGCGCGCAAATCAAAGACATACGAAACTCACCTGCAAAAGAGGAAGCAAAAGAAATGGCATTAATTAAATTTGTTGCAATTGGCGCTTAAACTAGAGAGGGCCGAAAAAATCACATTAAAGAAAATAAAATAATTAAAAACTTTGGGGCAACATTTTGAAAATTGTTTTGTGGCTCCCACAGGCCATTGACGGGTTCAAGAAATTGGCATTCTAAGAGGGGGCGGGCACGACACGCCCACGCCGTGTGCACAGCTTAAAAATATTTTTTTACGACAAAGCGCTCGCTCGCTACTCCACAACAACAACAACAACAACAATAACAGCGAATGCCCCCAGGGCTGGGCTGGGGCTGCACTGGAGACTCTTTGGGTAG